CAGGCAGGCCGGCAGGCAGGCAGGCCGGCAGGCAGGCAGGCAGGTGCTCACCAAAGGCTGGAAGGGCAGGCGCTCACCGGGCGAGCAGGGCCGGGTAGGCGCACGACGGCGGCGACGGCGGGGCCGCAACAACGGCTGCAGAGTAGGGCCGCGGCAGCTGCAGGGCGGGGCCGCTTCAGCGGCAGTCGCAGGGTGGGGCCGCGTCAGCGGCAGGTCGGGGCCGTGGCAGCTGCAGGGCGGGGCCGTATCAGCGGCAGGTCGGGGCCGAGGCAGCTGCAGGGCTGGGCGGGCCGCGCGAGCGAGGCGCGGGGCAGCAGCAGGCCGCGCGCGGGCTGCGCGGGCTCAGTGCGGGCCGCGCAGGCTCAGCGCGGGCCGCGCGGGGCTGCGACGGGCCGCGCGCGGGCTGCGCGAAGCAGCAGCGGGCTGCACGCAGCGCGGCGTGGGCTGCGCGGGCTCGGCGCGGGCTGCGCGCGGCAGCAGCGGGCTGCGCGCGGCTCGGCGCGGGCTGCGCGGGCTCGGCGCGGGCTGCGCGCGGCTCGGCGCGGGCTGCGCGGACAGCGCGGCGCGAGCTGTGCGCGGCAGCAACAGGCTGCGCGCGGCTCGGCGCGGGCTGTGCGGGCTCGGGCCGGGCTACGCGCGGCTGCAGCGGGCTGCGCGCGACTCGGCACGGGCTGCACGGGCTCTTTGCGGGCTGCGCAGGGCGACGCGCGTGCAGGAAGGTGCGCGCGGGCTGGAAGGGCGACACGCGCGGGACAACAGTAACCAGGAGGCAGGAGGCGTGACAGTCACAGGCATAGTTACAGGCTCATTCGTGGGGAAGCGGTAGGTGGGCCCGAAAAAAACGGTCCTACGGACCTACTGCTCTGATACCATGTTAGAAACTAGAGACAGGAATGATTGGATTGAAAGAAGAAAGGTGCAAATAGGAAACCCTAGTTGGGGTTGTACCCCATATTGGCTACCCCACTACAGCCTACCATCATACAGCACATTTATACTTTGACACCCGGCTCTTCATCGCCATCGTCGTTCAACTGCATGGGATACCAGCAGCGATCATCAGCGACAATTCGCGACACGAAATTCACCTGCAACTTCTGGCAGAACCTATGGCAGCAGTTCCGCACACGGCTACAGTTCAGCTAATCGTACCACCCCAAAACCGACAGATATACGGAATGGACAAATCAGACCATGGAATAGTTAATCCGAGCCACGTGCGACGATCTGACCACATGGGAACAGCAACTGCCACTCATCGAATTCGCCTACAACAACTCCCCATCAGCCACGATACAGCAGTCACCATTCTACCGGAACTACGGACAAGATCCGACAGTACCCAAAACCCCGAATCCCGACAACCCGGTACCACTCACGCAACAGTGCGCGGAGATCTTACAGGCAACCCGGACCCGGGCAGCAGACACAATAAAAAAATCAAACATCATTGCTAATCGCAACGCCGATCGCCACTGCCGCCCCGTTACTTACCAACCCAACGACCTCGCTTTAATCCACACTCAGAACCTCCGCCTGCCCGTCACCCCAAAACTCCGCCCCCGATATTGCGGGACATTTTGCATCAGCCACATGATCACTCCCGTCACCACCCATCTCCTCCTCCCTGCAGACTGGTACGTCAGCCCGTTATTCCACGTCAGCTTACTCTACCCATATGTCCCATCCCCCTGCTGAAACCCTAGCTCCACTCCCATGGCACCCCCCTTAAACCCTAAACCCTCGGCTCCCACACACCCACCCCCCTGAGCAGCAGCTGCAGCAGTGGGAGACGGAGGAGGAGGAGGAGCAGGGGACGGCTGACAGAGACGGCTGACAGAGACGGCACCCCCATACGCTCCACCCCCAAACCCTAATTCAGGAGTACGGGCAGCAGCAGGGGTGGGGCGCCGTCAGAAGCGCGAGGGACGGCGTGCAGCTCAGTGGGAGAGGAGACCGGGCGCCCGCGGGCCAGGCGCAGCCCGTACGAACCGCGCGCAGGCGGCCCGAGGCGCGCGCGGGCCAGGCGCAGCCCGTACGGGCCGCGCGCGGGCCTGGCGCAGGCCGTACGGGCCGCGCGCGGGCCTGGCGCAGCCCGTACGAGCAGCGCGCGGGTTGTACGGGCCGCGCGCGGGCCTGGCGCAGCCCGTACGGGCCGCGCGCGTGCAGGACAGGCCGCGCGCGGGCCTGGCGCAGCCTGTACGGGCCGCGCTCGTGCAGTACGGGCCGCGCACGGGCGACGGGGGCGACGCGCGGGTCCCCGGGGGCGCTTCGGCGGGCGACGGGGGGAGAAAACCGCCGCGCGCCTCGGGGCGCACGGCGGGCAGAGAACCGCCGCGCGCCTCGGGGCGCACGGCGGGCAGAAAACCGCCGCACACCTCGGGGCGCACGGCGGGATGAAAAATCCGTCGCACGCCACGAGGCGTGCGACACACAGAGTAGCAGTAGCAGTAGCAGTAGCAGCGGAAGGCTTAGGTGGTGGGCCCACCCACAGGATCGACCCAGGAGGGTCGACCTGCTCTGATAGCATGTCAGAACTAGCTGTAGAAAGTAAGAATGAAGAAAGGAGGAGGTTGCACTAGCAGCAGTTGGCATACATATAGGAAACCCTAATTGGGTTGTACTCGCTATAGAGTACCCCACTGCAGGCTAGAGCATAATATTCTGACACCGCCAAGCCAGCATGACACGACCGCCCACATAACCAATCATCACGCCCGAGAAAATCTTGAGCCACCGAGTTCGTGACCCACGTGGAGCTCGAATGATTGAGTTCCTGATTTGGTGGAAAGACCGCACGCCCACAGGAGACAACTGGGTACCCCTGGATAGAATCGAGAACCACCCCGTCCTCACCGAGTATCTCAGCAGCCACAATTTTCGAGAAGTACACGCACTCTCGTAAGGAGGGCCTCCTTGGGGAAGTGGGGGGGGGGGGGGGAAAGAAAATTCCTTTTCCTTACGTCGCACCCCTGCGTAGCGCGTACACTACTGTTCCGGCCAACAGCTCCCAACAGTGCACCGTTACCACTCGCGACACTCACATCGACCACTGTTCCTGCCACAGTTCATGAAGCGACCCAACCTTACGGCTCGGTTGGTAACCCGCGCTCCGGACCTCCGCCTCGACATTTCCCAACCTCGGCGCTAGGCCCTTAGCGCACCCCATTTTCACACATTATTGTTTCCACTCTAGCTTCGCTATATATTCTTCGCTCATGCCTTCGCTCAATGTACTGTTTTGCTTCGATAGTGCAATTCTCGCTCGCTCACTCGCTTGCTCAATTGCACTAGTAACACCTCCAAACCAGGCCCCTAGATTCGTTTTGGGCTAGTCTGAGGCCTCAGAGTATACCCCTATTCCTAGTCTGGCTGTCAGAGTTACCTATTTTTTTAAGTCTGAAAGTTCAGACGTCACAAACATTTCAACGCTGATCTTACAGACTAGCAGTCTATTTTTCCACTTACACCTGTAGTGAACATTTTTCACATGTCTGCAGCGCGCTGCGAGCAATGAAGGCGGGCTGTGGTGGTTGGTCGTGGTGTCAAACGAAGGTGCAGCGCGCTGCGAGCTAAGTGTTGGCAAGGAATCTTGCCAACACTGCCTGCTGCGCAGCCGCGATTGGTTGGAATTGGTATGGTTTTGATTACAGCAATTCTGAACCAACGCACTTGTGCAGTGCCGCGCTGGCGAAATTTTGGGTTCCCGCCCGTGATTGACGGGGTTAGTGCTGCACACCGCCAGGCTGGCGCAAACCCCTGTACCGGTTTCAGAGTGCACCCCCGATACACCGTAAAGTGCCACCTATAGGACCCGCCGGTAAGAGGGTCCCCGGGACTCTTGAAGGAGCAGAGGGACTCTTATTTGGGCAGGATTTGTGAGGACCCCCTTTCTGCCCCTAATCATCATAAGACCCCCCTTTTCTGTATACAGTAGTTGTAATTGCTATTGTGAGTCAGCTTTTATTGACAGAAACTTGAATTCTGACACGATTTTTTGTGTCAGACTCGAATTCTGACACTTTGTTTGTGTCAGACTCGAATTCTGACACAGATCTGACGCGCCGCTCGCGCGAAATCCGCCCACGAATGCCGTTTTTCGTTATAAATATAAGACCCCCCCGCCCCGAATTAAGCCGTACACCCTAAAGAACAGAATGATAGTTGATAAATTACTGTACCCCGGGTCTTAAAATTTTGCATCCGCCAGAGGGTCCCCCTAGCACTTTTTCAAGCATTTGTAGAGAGTCCCCCGGGTCCTATAGGTGGCACTTTACGGCAAGTCTGAGGCTCAGCCTACACCACTAAAACTAGTCTGAAATTTCAGACAAGTCAGTAAAAAAAACTCGGAAAAATCAGACCGGGTACCTAAAAAAATTCTTTGAGTTCAGACTAGGTAAAAAAAAAAAGTCTGAACGGACTCTGAATCAGACTCCAAAGTCTGATATCTAGGGCCCTGCTCCAAACCCCCTAATGCGTCTCTGCTCCGCGACAGTGTGTACGGGTGTCGGCCATATGGCACTGACCCAAAGGTTTCCAGAAAGCTTCTCAATTCTAACCGTAAAAGTGAACAGCAGCTAAAAGTGAAACTACATTACCCTACCTTTGGCAAATCATGATGCTTGGGTTTGTGTTGTGAACTTGTGATACTGTTATGACTCGTTAAATCTTGTGCAAATATTAACAAAATAATGAATCTGCAAGAATACGGACTAACAATAGAATGAATGTGATGAGATAATATAACGGGGAAACCTTTTTATGGGGACACCATATAGGCAAGGGAAGGAAAGGAAGCCTCAGAGTCGATGACATCTTCCGAGCCTGTACTTATGGAAGATGGGGTTGTACGCAAAATAGTAAAGCCCGATAATGAAAAATGGATTCTCATCAAGCACCCTAAAATACCTAGCCAAAAGTATGATGGGCAAGCAAAATAAGCACCAAAGCAAGCCTCTCCTTCCAGTGATACCACAATCAGAAAGGCAAGAGTCAAAGGCTCAGTCATTCCCAAGGAGATAGCGCCGCCACTCGGAGGTGGCAGGTGGGGGGCCAGGCACCCAGCATGGAGGCACTGACGAGCCTGGGGCATGCACGCCTGGGGCATGCACGCCTGGGGCATGCACGCCTGGGGGCAGCGATGCAGCAGCTGCAGCAGCCACAGCAGCAGCAGGAGCAGCAGCAGCGGGGGGAGCAGCAGGCGCAAAGAAAGCAAGCGGATCTTCATGGATGAAGGAGGAGGTTGCTGCGAGGAGTAGAGGGGTGTGAGGGGCACGAGAGGTGTGAGGGGCATGAGAGGTGTGAGGGGCATGAGAGGTGTGAGGGGCATGAGAGGTGTGAGGGACGGGAGCGCGTAGAGGGCGTTGGGGTACATGGGAGTGACGGGTTGGAGCAGAGCAAGGCAGGGGCAGCAGGAAGGCATCCCACTGGCGTCGCACTGCTGTGAGGTCACGCAGAGGCAGGTGGTGAGCGGCGGCAGAGAGAAGCAGGGGCCAGTCGTTGCAGGAAGGAAGGCCTTTTCGCCCTCTACTCTCCCCTGCTCTCACTGACTGTATGCCTGTGTGGCCCTGGTCGTGGCCTCCCTCCTGCATAGCCCCACCATCCCCCCCATCACCTCCGCTCCCACCAACGGCCATTCTCGCTTCCGCTGCTGCCTGCTCCCACACGCATGCTCTTAGCCTTGCTTCCTCCTCCACACCCCCTCTCCCCTCCTCTTGCTCCTCCCCCTCTCCCCTCCCCTCCTCGTGCCCCCCTGCCTCTCCCTTCCCCTCCTCGTGCCCCCCTGCCTCTCCCCTTCCCTCCTCGTGCCCCTGCACATTACCCCGCCTGTCCTCCTGCTGCACGGCGTCCCTCACAGCGCGCATGAACGCATCCTCCTCGCCCTCCACCACCCGCCCTGCCAGCATGCTCCCACACACCACACGGCAGGGCATGAGAACACCGGGGGAGGGCGACTGGGAGAGAAAAGAATGGGCAACAGAGGGGCGGCGGCTCTCTGTGTGTGCATGAAAGCAGCAGCACAGTCGTCCTCACCCAGGGCCAGGTTCCAAGGCTCGGGGAGGACTGGCCAAGGGCACGAAAAAACGCAGCTTTATGGATCGTTTTGCAAGGGGAGAAAGAAACCGTGAAGAAACGCTAGCTGGCTCACACAGACAGGTTCTGTAAACAGGAGACCTTCACTAAACCATGGTTTGTACACAACGAAAAACATGTTGCGGCTGCCAGACATACCCTAGCAGGCATTTGTAAGCGCCAATGAGACAGAACTGAGGGAAAAGCTATTCAAAAGAAATCTCTATTTCTGAAGATACGACTCCCTGGGCTAACGTCACCCAGATCAAGGTGCAAAAAAACGACGTTTTTTTTTTTTTTGTCGTTTTTTTCGATATCGTAATTTATGATCGTATAAAACGGAATAAAACGAGAATATTGTTTAGTCCTTTTTTCGTGGAAAAAAACGATCGTTTTTTTCGATCATTTTTTTTGTACCACAATTTACAGTTACGATTATCTCCGGATAACGCACAACTCGCAGAGAAGGGTTTCACTGTATACACAAGCAACACAAGGGGAGAGGTAGCGGGAGGATTCACGAGGGAGCACAGGCATGTGGGTTCAAGTGAATCCACCCAGTACAGAGAGGAATCGTGGGTCAGAAATTTAGACCCACGTTCGAGGCGCGACATGCAGAAATTGGGACCCACCTTCGAGGCGCGGCATGCCAACACTTCGCTTCCCTGCTCTCGCTGATTTCGCAAAGCGTCGAGGCCACTTCGTGCACCCTTAAAAATGATTTCGTGCATGTGCGAAACACGAATGTCAAGACCTGCGACGCGACGTCCCAAGTTGTACACCCAAATTGCTTCTGTTTGTTCCTCGAACCGCAGGTAATTGACGCACGCATCAATTCGGATTGCTAGGGTTGGTTGCGACGTGAAAAATGTTTCGCATCGGAAAGTTTGCTCTCGCTTTTTTCGCGCGCGTCATAAAAGCGTCAGCGCACGTATGAATGCAGCGCTGCGAAGAATTACAGTTGCATTTGCGACACGTTATTTTGTTGCTGCACATCAGCGAAAACTTTAACATTTGGGCCTGCGACGTGACTTCCAAGTGTTGCCACGTCTTACCCACTTTCACTTCCCGTAACGCAAAATCTGAATTCGTGGTGTCCGACACGAATTCCACGGGACTAGCGCGAAGCACGCCCAGTCTCTCTGATAGTATCCAACGCCCGGCGTGAACGCATACTCCCAGCAAAGCTGCAAGCCTTTTGCCGACGGACGATATCTGTTGTTATTAGTAGCCACCACACCATTGTCTTCAGCACTCCACGTCCATTCTAGCTAGTTCTTGTTCGAGTAGGCCCGTTTTTCATCCACAATGCCTAGAGCACGGTCTGAAATGTGGGACCACGTGAAGGAGGTAACTGACAACGACGGAAAAGTCGGCTATGTGTGCATTCACTGCCCTAAGGACAAACCCACTGTCATTCCTGCAAGCGCTACACGAATCAGAGACCACATTTTAGGGGTCGAGAAAGGTCAGCCGAAAAACATAGGGGTCTGTAAGTCTGACTTTGCGGTGAATCTCCGCCTCAAGACTGCAACGTCTACGGGCAATCCGAGCAGCTCAACATCCTTGGTGGGGAACGGCCCTAAGAAGGGTCGCCAGCTCGACATCCGTGACATCACGGACGAAAAGGGCCGTGAGCATCTCGATCTGCTCTGGGTGACTGCGGTGGCAGAGAACGATTGAGCGTTACGGGTCTCTGAGTGAGTGGAAACGCTTAACCCTTGTGCCATGTTTCTTCCATGGACATCTTCCCTCCCCATCTTCCCTCGTGCCCATCATGATTTGGCTGCTGCTGCAACGCTCCTCCTCACCTTGTTAATATTATGCTTTGCTGGCATTCATACCACACCCCACAGATCTGTTGCGGTCCAGAACTTTCTGAACGCGTTAGTGAGTTTTAGGAGACCCTACACACTCCCGTCTGCCTACAAGTCGCGGGCCCATTGCTCGCCAGATTGAAGACAGAGACGGAAGAACTCGTGCGGCCCTTGACAGATTCTTGGGCAACGACGTCGTGCACCATCTCAGTCGACGGATGGTCGTGCTTGAAGAGTCGCGGCTTGGTGTGTGTGCTGGCGCACAGCGACACTGCACCAGTGATTGTCAACATTGTCGATTCCAAGCTGTCGAAGAAGACAGGTTCATACCTGTCTGATCTCATAAGGACGTCAATCGTGAAGGAGGGGGACAACAAGGTGATTCAGGTGGTCATGGACAACGCAAGTAATAACAAGAGTGCTGCCGCAATTCTCAGTGAGGGTTACCCGTCGATTTTCTTCACCAATTGTGCTGCCCATTGTCTCGATCTCATGCTCCACGACATGGGTAAGATCGGCATTGTGAAGAAAGTTCTCACCCAGGTCCATCGCATTGTGATGATGGTCAAGGGAAGTGCGAGCGCTGTTGCCCTTTTCCGCACGATCTTCAGCAAGCTTGAGCTTGTTCGGCCAGGTACCACCAGATTTGGCACGCAGGTGATCATGGTCACCCGGTTCTTGGAGGTCAAGGAACAGCTTCGTCAGCTGGTCATCAGTGACCAATGGAAGGAGGTGGCAGTGTCTAAGACCGAAGATGCGAAGAAAATCCGGAAACTCCTTCTGGATGATATCTTCTGGGAATCGGTCAAATCAGTGGCAGAAACTGATGATTGCCGATCTACAATGTGCTACGAGCAGTCGACACAAGAGCTCTTGTGATGAGATCTATCTATGGGATGATGCTCGAGGCGACCGTGGCGGTCAATGAGGCGGCAGAGGGAGCAGGTAAACAGTGTTGCACACCCATTACAAGTTCCGTCTTACCCTAAACCAGATTCGTGCTCTAATTGTATTATGTCTTTCTTTGCAGCGACATTCTTCAGGCGTCACAGCCAAGTGCTCGCCGGGAAGGAGAGGTCGAAGTTTTTGGCGGCCATCAAGGGCATCATCGGGCGCAGATGGGATAAGCAATTGCACAACCCGATGCATGCATTCGGCTGGCTCCTTAACCCGAAGAACCAGCTTGCGATTGAAGTCCGCAACGACCCCGAGATCATCAAGGGGTCAATGCCGTGCTGGGCACGAGGAGGTGACGTTGCAAGGCGCATCTTGTTGCAAGCCCAGCTTGCTACGTACCACAGAGGTGAGGGTCGTCTGGGGGGGGAAAGATGCACGGGCCGCAGCGATGCTTCGTGGAGAGTGGACGTCTCTTACATGGATTGGTGGGCGATGTATGGAGGGGAACTCCCCGAGCTGCAGGATTTGGCTGTGTGAGAATGTTATCACAGCCTATCACTGCGGTCGGAAGTGAGAGGTGCTGGTCTGCGATGGCAAGGGTGCTTGCAGCGGCGTGACCGCAACAGGCTGAGCGCTCAGACCATGAATCGATGTCACCACGGTGGCATTCAGTAGGCGTTCGAGGGCTGCATTCGACAAGAAGCAGGAAGGCGCGCCAAATTTTTGCAGACCTAGCAGCAGGCAAGCTCAACGAGAGCACTCTAGAGAAGAGTGACGACGACGGCAATCGAAAGCTCTGAACCACAGGCCGAAGGCTCTGAACCACGGGGTTGAAGAGGAAGGTGGTGATGTCGATTGCGTGATTGACTGGGAAGCTCTTGGCAGCATCGGAAAAGAGGAAGAAGACCCGGGGAGGTGACGAAGGGAGGAACAAGGGAAAGGCGACCAAGAAGCTTAAGAAGAAGCGTTCGGCTGACGAAGACGATGAGGAGGG